GCTTGTATATTATTGTTATTGTTTATTTTTTGTTTATGAGATTTATTTTAACTATTTTGTATTGATTATTTTGTTATTGCCTTTGTTTATTGATGTGCTGTGGGCTCGGCCACATGTAAGCTGCACTGAGTCCCTTGGGGAGATGGTAGCGGGGTGTAAATAAAGTATTATTATTATTATTATTATTATTATTATTATTATACTGATATTGTACTATGCTAATAATTTACTATATTGTATGTATATATTTACTTACTTACTTTACTTAGGCGATCCCTCGTAGTCTAAGCATGATGGTTCTCCAAATGTAGTATCCTGGGGGGTGGGTCCATAGGTGACTGTGGAGCCCGATTCTTGATCTGTATCTTCTCCCACAGTGAGGGCATCGGTTTCCAGGCGGAAGGCGGTCCTGGTCGGGGTTGGCTTGACGTGCCTTCCTCTTGGCGTGTTTCTCTCTTTCGCCTTCCATTCGTGCCTCTTCGAATTCTGCAGCACTGCTGGTCACAGCTGACCTCCAGCTAGAGCGCTCAAGGGCCAGGGCTTCCCAGTTCTCGGTGCCTACGCCAGAGTTTTTAAGGTTGGCTTAAAGCTTGTTGTTGAGACCAGGACATGGAGCAATGGTTTGCAAATGATAGGAAAAGAAACACAAACAAAATATTAGGAAAAATATCGTGACAGGAGTCCCATAGAGTTTCCTTCTTTGGAAGTTTCTGAGTCAGAAATGGCTCAAAGGCCCCAAAAACACACACACAAAGGAGGAGTGTGCAGGGCTTAGCATGGAAGCAGACAGAGTGACACACCTGAGCCTTGTTGTCTCCCAGGTGTAGTCCCTTTAGGGTTTTAGTGGTGTTTACTGACTGATCTCAAGACTGGGATGGAATGAGCCCTTTGCTCAAACAATAGGCTCCTCTTGAGCTGCAGAGAGGCTTCACCTCCCTTGCCACCAGCATAGAAGTTGCCCAGGGAATTTATGGGTTCGTCTATGGCGTCGATTCACTCTCCAAGGTATATTTTTAAAAAATGCTTCTTCTTACTTACTTACTTACTTACTTAGGTGACCCCTCATTGTCTGAGTAGGATAATCCTCCAGGGTGGGTCCGTAGGTGGCCGTAGAACCCTATTCTTGACCTGCATCTTCTCCCACAGTGAGGGCATTGGTTTCCAGGCAGAAGGCGGTCCTGGTCGGGGTTGGCTTGACGCGCCTTCCTCTTGGCACATTTCTCTCTTTCGCCCTCCATTCGTGCCTCTTCAAATTCTGCAGCACTGCTGGTCACAACTGACCGCCAACTGGAGCGCTCAAGGGCATGGCTTCCCAGTTCTCAGTGTCTATGCCAGAGTTTTTAATGTTGGCTTTGAGCCCATCTTCAAATCTCTTTTCCTGCCCACCAACATCCCGTTTTCCGTTCTTGAATTCGGAGTAGTTTATAACTGCTTTGGGAGATGGTGGTCGGGCATCCAGACAACTATGCTAATAATTTAATATATTGTATGTATATATATCTTGCAAGCCACTTTGGGGTGAGAATGGGGGGCATATAAATGTCGTAAATAAATAAATAAATAAACAATATCTGGAAAAAAAATCCCTTCCATACAATCTTCTTTACAGGACAGACCAGCCTGGTTTAATCCTGCATGACTAAGTGCAACTGCCCATTAGGAAATGGTGCAGATAAAACCCACAAGTTTGAACTCTAGGAAGTAAAAACATCCTTGTGGCCGGTCTGCCCCATTGCCCGGTTCCTGGTGCCGTGAATCTCCTGCCAGAACTTTTCTGCGTTGTATTTACAGCCAGCCCCAAAAAGATTTGGCAGGGAAGCCGGACACATGCAGCGAACCAGTTGGTGTATGTAAAATTACGCTCTGCTCGGAGCGCTGTCACGGGCGTCGGTTGGACTGTTCAGTCACATTTTCGACATCTCTCATCCCGTGTGTGCCAGGGATTTTGTAAAAGGATTTGCTTCGGGTATGGCCCCTGGTTCAGGCAGACAGCGCATGATGCCTCTCTGCTAAACTTGCACAGAATTAAGGCCGCCTAAGGCGTTTCCATCTTCAAGGAAAAATGTGGCGTGCCAGTCGTTGTGAGACTGCGGCACATCTAGTAGGCCTGCGCGATCAATGAAAAAAAGTTTCAATATTCATTACTAAATTAGGGGAGGGGTGGCAAATTCTCACAACCACCATGTCAGACTACACAGAGAAGCCATTGAATTCCACAAACATGTAGACAATTTCAACAGAAAGGAGGAAACCATAAAAATGAACAAAATCTGGCTACCAGTATTTAAAAAACCTTAAAATTACAACAGCAAAAACAGCAGAGAGGAAACAGGCAGGGACATCTAATCACCTTTCAAGAAGAGTTTGCTCCAGGCACAGTCAGCCCATTGTATGCTAATCAGGTGGTCAGTTGAAAGATTCACACCCAGCCCAACTTACAAAAGCCTTTTGTCCCACCCTGGTCATTCCACAGATATATAAACCCCTTTTTTCCCAGCTCCATCAGACCTCACCTCTGAGGAAGCTTGCCATAGATGCAGGCAAAACGTCAGGAGAGAATGCCTCTAGAACATGGCCATATAGCCCGAAAAAACCCACAAGAACTGGGTGGCAAATTGTTTCTAAAGTGTTTCTAAAATATCGTAAGGGGTGGAACTCTATATTGTATCCATAACAATATAACAACATGTCTGTTATTATTTTGGTATGAAATGGCGCAAGTGGGGAAACTTCCAGGGCTCCTTTCACCCTCATTTTTAGAACTATCAGCATGGATGGGTGGCCATCAGTTTTTTGGGCTGTGCCATGTTCTAGAAGCATTCTCTCCTGACGTTTTGCCCACATCTATGGCAGGCATCCTTAGAGGTTGTGAGGTTTGTTGGAAACTAGGCAAGTGGGGTTTATATATCTGTGGAATTATGCCCAGGGTGGGAGAAAGAAAGAACTTGTATGCAGAACACATCATGCGGGATGTGCGGGGCTTGATGAATGGCTGGGGTGAAAATTGCTGGAAGAAACATGATCAACCTTAGATATTCAGATGACACCACTTTGATGGCCGAAAGCGAGGAGGAGCTAAGGAGCCTTCTAATCAAAGTGAAAGAAGAAAGGGCAAAAGCTGGGTTGCAGCTAAGCATCAAAAAAACCAAGAAGATGGCAACCGGACTGATTGACAACTGGGAAATAGAGGGAGAAAACGTGGAGGCTGGGACAGGTTTTGTATTTCTAGGTGCAAAGATGAGTGTGGACGCAGACTGTGGCCAGGAAATCAGGAGACGCTTCCTTCTTGGGAGGAGAGCAAGGACCCATCTCGATCAGAGTGAAGAGTAGGGGCATCAGACTGGCAACGAAAGTCCACATAGTCCAAGCCATGGTCTTCCCTATAGTCACCTACGGATGTGAGAGCTGGACCTTCGGGAAGGCTGAGCGAAGGAAGAGAGATGCTTTTGAGTTGTGGTGCTGGAGGAAAGTTCTGAGAGTGCCTTGGACTGCGAGAAGATCCAACCAGTCCATCCTCCAGGAAAGAAAGCCCGGCTGCTCACTGGAGGGAAGGAGATGAGAGGCCAAGATGAAATCATGAGAAGTCAGGAAAGCTTGGAGAAGGGAATGATGCTGGGGGAAATGGAAGGAAAGAGGAAGAGGGGCTGACCAAGGGCAAGAGGGATGGATATCATCCTTGAAGAGACTGGATTGACCTTGAAGGAGCTGGGGGAGATGGCGGCCAACAGGGAGCTCTGTTGTGAGGTGGTCCAGGAGGTCACAAAGAGTCGGAAGCAACTGAACCAGTAAACAATAACGACTTCATGCCTTCTTTGCCTCAGCTCTCTCACAAAAAGCAAGCCACCCTCAACCTCAACCCTCAACCTCAGAGGGGCCAACCAAGGGCAAGGCGGGTGGATGACATCCTTGAAGGGACTGGCTTGACCTTGAAGGAGACCCTGGGGGTGGTGACGGCCGACAGGGAGCTCTGGCTCACTCACTAAGGAAAGAAATATTATTATTATTATTATTAATGTTATTCATCTGTTCAGTGACATAGAATCCTACAGTTGGAAGAGACCTCCTGGGCCATCCAGTCCAACCCCATTCTGCCAAAAAGCAGGAATATTGCATTCAAATCACCCCTGACAGATGGCCATCCAGCCTCTGTTTAAAAGCTTCCAAAGAAGGAGCCTCCACCACACTCCGGGGCAGAGAGTTCCACTGCTGAACGGCTCTCACAGTCAAGAAGTTCTTCCTCGTGTTCAGATGGAATTACCTTTCTTGTAGTTTGTCAGTGGCTTTGTTGACTTATGTATATAGGCACACCTTATTTAAGAACTAGGCGTCTTCCATCTGCAAATATTTTGAATGCACGGCTACGGAGGGTGGAGAGTGCTCTAGGAAGGCATCTACACGGCAGAATGAATGCAGTTTGACACTTGATATGGAATCGTAAGAGCTGATATTTTGCAAGGTCTTCCAGCTTCTCAGCCAAAGAGTGCTGGTGCCTCTCCAAACTACACCTTCCACAACCCCTTACTATTGATTGAGCCTTGGGCAAACTTGGGCCCTCCAGGTGTTTTGGACTTCAACTCCCACAATTCCTAACAGCCTCAGGCCCCTTCCTTTTCCCCCTCAGCCGCTTAAGCGGCTGAGGGGGAAAAGGAAGGGGCCTGAGGCTGTTAGGAATTGTGAGAGTTGAAGTCCAAAACACCTGGAGGGAGAGAAGGAGGGAGGGCCCAAGTTTGGCCATGCCTGGTGTAGCTGCACCTCGTGCCAAGGCTCTCCAAGGCCCTGCTCTCCATGTTCAGCTTCTCAACCTCTTGGAACTCTACTTGTGGGTGGACAGAATCTCTCTCCAACTGCCGGCGATGAGGAATAGCCGCCAAAGTCCCCAATGAGAGCCACTTCCCTTGCTGTGTGGCCGTCCCTGCCCAGCTGTTGGCCTGATCTCGTTGACGTAATGACTGGCAGCTTAAGAGCTTCAGCAGCTGCGAGGGATTATTCATTTTCCCAAGACTGAGGGAAAGCAGGTCTGCTGCACTTTCTGGCCGGACCTTGACTCCTCGTTCCCAGGTAACTACAACTTTCCAGGAGCATCGCAAACATTGGGTGCTTGTTTATCCATTGGAAGAGCTTTAGCCATTTGGATGGAACAGCATTTCCTCTTCTGTAGCCGTCTCTCTCCCTAAAGCAAGGGCTAACAAGTATAGTCAAATATACTCTCAACTGAAGATCAAAATTGTAATGAAAATCGTGTGTAGAACTAAAACTCTAATTATGAGGTTGAAAAGGATTGGTGAAGAGTTTTGAGTAGGAGAGGGATCAAATTTCAGGAGAACTGGGAAGCCCTGGCCCTTGAGTGCTCCAGTTGGAGGTCAGCTGTGACCAGCAGTGCTGTAGAATTTGAAGAGGCTCAACTGGAGGGCGAAAGAGAGAAACGTGCCAGGAGGAAGGTCCGTCAAGCCAACCCCTTTATCACTTTCTTTTGGGGAGCAATTTGTGTGAAAATGACATATGTAAAACCTGCCCAGAGAACAAAAAAAAATTCAGTAAACAGGGTACAGGACAAAGGAATTGCCTCTGCTTATATATCCTTTGTAATAATAATATGCATGCATCACATAGGCATCATACAAACATCACAATATGTGTCACAAAATTCTCCTTTTACATTATTTCCGATGGCATATTTTTAATTTCAAGACCTTTGACCTTCCATAAGCACCTTAAATTATTATTTTTTAAAATTTGTATTTATTTTTTATTTTTTGTAAATTATTCTTATTCTTACATTAGTATTTGGTATTTTCTTGTTGTTTCTCTGCCTCAGAACTGCCTTGTGAGGTAGGCTTGTGGTCTTGTTTGTTTGTGTATATGTGTGTGTGTGTGTGTGTGTGTGTGTGTATCTCAAAATAGCAGGGAGCCAACACCAGGAGCCTTAAGGACAGCCTAATTCTATATTTGATTGAGAATACGTTCCAAGATATTAAATATTAAATAGAGGTTGCTTCTTAATGACAAGCCGGGATTTCCAATTGGAAGTTTGTGGTTTGGCGTTTGTTTTGCATTTCAGTGGCAAAGGGAAACTGGCGCTGAATCTTTTGCCTGTTCAGCCAAAAGTTATTTATTTATTTTATTGTTTATTTATTTTTATTACTTATTTATCATTTTATTTAATGTTTTATTTATTTTATTTTTATTCCTCTTTTTTATTTCTATCAGCAGCTAACAACATAAATACACACACACAAACTGTTTATTTATTTATTATTTTATTAAATTACTAAATATTGTATTTATTTTATTTTTATCCCTCTTTTTTATTTCTATCAGCAGCTAGCAACATAAATATACACACACACTGTTTGTTTGTTTATATTATTTATTTATTTATCATTTTATTTAATGTTTTATTTATTTTATTTTTATCCCTCTTTTTTATTTCTATTAGCAGCTAACAACATAAATACACACACACACTGTTTGTTTTTATTATTTATTTATTTATAATTTTAATGTTTTATTTATTTTATTTTTATCCCTCTTTTTTATTTCTATCAGCAGCTAACAACATAAATGTATACACACACACAGTTTGTTTGCTTTTGGCGCAGTGGGTTAAACCCCTGTGCAGGCAGGACTGAAGACCGACAGGTCACAGGTTTGAATCCGGGGAGAGGCGGATGAGCTCCCTCTGTCAGCTCCAGCTCCCCAAGCAGGGACATGAGAGAAGCCTCCCACAAGGATGATAAAAACATCAAATCATCCGGGCAATGTCCCCTGGGCAACATCCTTGCAGACTGCCAATTCTCTCACACCAGAAACGACTTGCAGTTTCTCAAGTCACTTCTGACATGACAAAAAATAAAATAAATACAAAATAATTTATCATTTTATTTAATGTTTTATTTCTTTTATTTTTATCCCTCTTTTTTATTTCTATCAGCAGGCAACTATACACACACACACACATATACACGCACACATGTTTGTTTGTTTATTTATCATTTTATTTAATGTTTTATTTCTTTTATTTTTATCCCTCTTATTTCTATCAGCAGGTAACTATATATATATATACACACACACACACACATACATACACACACACACACATACCTACACGCACACACATGTTGTTTATTTGTTTATTTATTATCATTTTATTTAATATTTTTATTCCTCTTTTTTATTTCTATCCGGTAACAACATAAATACACACACATATTGTTTGTTTCTTTGTTTCTTTATTGTGTCAGAATCGAATTGAGGGTGCAGTTATAATGTATGCACACACACACACACACACACAAATACACACATGTAAACCACAAGCTATTTTGTTTATTGATTTATTTAAATATATTCACACACACACACACACACACACACACATATATATAAACCACAAGCCATTTTATTCATTCATATGTGTACACACATACACAAATATACATATATAAACTGCAAACAGTTTTATTTATTCATATATATAAATACACACACACACAAACACATATGTAACCTGCAAGTTTATTTATCCATTTATAAAAATATATATGTACACACACACACACACACACACAATGGGCAAATAACACAATGTTTAGGGAAAACTAATATCATGCATTTCTTTTCTTTTTTAGAAATCCCCTTTACTTTCAATAGAAATAACAGAATGTTAAGACTAATTGGACGCAATATCTCCCCATCATAACATGGGTATTTAGCCGGAGGTGAATTTCAGTGGCAGGAAAGGCAGATTTCAATCTGCACGCGCTGTTCGCAGTTAACATGACGTGCTTTCTGCTCTTTTAAGCTTCGGCACATCGTGCTTTTGATGTTTAATTTTTAACAGTATGAATTATACCTAAATGGGAATTATTGTTGAATACACCTGGGGAAAATAAATGCCAAGCTTCTGCATTCAGCTTGCATGAAGAGTGATTCTGGAGGAGGGAGAAAATACTCTGTGCATGCTCAGGGAAAACCAGCAAGAAAGTTTACACATATTTTGGTGCACGTTTCTAAATTTGGGCCCAGAGCCTATCAGCCAAGCCTAACAGGCTACAGAAATATTTACCAGGTTGGTTGCAAATACTCATGCATCATCATCACCATCATCATCATCATCATCATCGGGTTGCTATTTTTCCAGGCTGTATGGCCATGTTCCAGAAGCATTCCCTCCTGACGTTTCGCCTCCATCTGTGGCAGGCATCTTCAGAGGTTGTGAGGTCTGTTGGAAACTAGGAAAGCCGGAAGCAGCCAGACCTTGAAACTTCAAGGCCATTAAATGCTAACCAAGGTGGCCAGTTGCAACATTCATACTTGCCTCAAGCAGACAAGAGTTCTTTCTCCCTCCCTGGACATCATCCCACAGATATATAAACCCCACTTGCCTAGTTTCCAACAGACCACACAACATCGGAGGATGCTTGCCATAGATGTGGGTGAAATGTCAGGAGAAAATACTTCTGGAACATGACCATACAGCCCGGAAAATTCACAGCACCTCAGTGATTCTGGCCACGAAAGCCTTCGAGAATACATTGAACTCTGTTTATTATTATTATTATTATTATTATTATTATTATTATTATTATTATTAGATACACAACAAGATTAGTACACAGCAAACAAGATCACTGTCCTGGATTTTGTATTTGATCACACATTGGACACTTCCCTAGTGTCTAGAACTGTGTGATGTATCTGTGAATAATATGTGCTGATCAAAGTAGGGTGGTCTTTTGCAGCTGGCAGATGGTAATTTTGTCAACACCAATTGTTTTTAAGTGCAGGCCAAGGTCTTTAGGCACTGCACCCAGTGTGCCAAGCACCACTGGAACCCCCTTGACTGGCTTGTGCCAGAGTCTTTGCTGTTCGATTTTTAAATCCTCCTATCGTGTCAGCTTTTCCAGTTGTTTATCTTCAATCCTGCTGTCACCTGGGATTGCAAGATTGACGATTCATACTTTGTTTTTTTCCATGATCGTGAGGTCAGGAGTGTTGTGCTCCAAAACTCTGTCAGTCTGAATTTAGAAGTCCCAGAGTAGCTTGATGTGTTCATTCTCTGTAACCTTTTCCAACTTGTGATCCCACCATTTCTTTGTGGCAGGCAGATGGTCTTTGTGGCACAAGTTCCAGTGAATCACCTGAGCAAGGGTGTTGTGCCTCTGCTTGGAGTCTGTCCGTAATCTTCTTGCAGCAGCTGAGGATGGGATCTGTTGTTTTATCTGCTTCCTTGCAGATCGACTTTTCAATTCTGGCTTGGATGGCATTGGTCCTAATGGCTTGTTCTTGGGCTGCCAGAATCAGGCCCTCCATCTCATTATTTTTAATAATAATAATAATAATAATAATAATAATAATAATAATAAATATGGGTTTGGCAAAAAGAAAATCTATATAAGATAAATGTCATTTATGAAAGTGAGCAACAGGTTAAAGGAATATTTCCATCACACAGATTGTAAATCTTTTGTATAAATAAAGATATAATCCTCATTTGTGTGATTAACAGAACTCAAAAACCACTGGACGAATTGACACCAAATTTGGACACAAGACACCTCCCAGGCCAACGAGTGACCATCACTCATAAAAACACTGAAAAACACAGCAGAAGGGACTTTAAGCCATATATATATATATATATATACACACACACACACACACATACATACACACACACACACACATACACACACACACATATATACATATACATATATATATATATATACACACACACACATATATATATATACATACATACACACACGCATGCACACAACTACACACACATACATACATATACACAAATATATACACACATATACACATATATATGCACACAAAACACATATGCACAGACTGGGCCACAACAACGCATGGCAGTGGGCGGCTAGTGTAAAGAAAGGTAGATTTTTTGTCCTTAGTCATAGAACGTAGAAGTGGCTGCCTTTTTGCAATTTCAAAAACTGCAGGCATGACATATATTTTAGAAACTAACGTTTACATCTTGTGTCTTTCGCTTTGCAGGATGAAGACCCAGATCTCCCATCTTCTGAAAGCTGTTTTCATTTTAATTGGCATGCAAGGGGGTGTCCGTATGGAAGAATGTATCTTCGAGAAGCTGGAGGGTGAGGACGGCATGTTTTGCAGGTAAACTCATTTTTTAAAATGTTTTCTGATTATTATTATTTTTCTTTACAAAAATACACGGGGTCTTCTCTCAGTGTGTTATGACCCATGTTGCCCAACGGTGTGATACAAGCTCACACCTTAAGCGTGTTTTCATAATTTCCACAATTCTTATAGGTTTTGTAGTAGCATATAATATAATATAATAATATAACACAATTTTTGTTTCATTGCTTTGAAGAATGTAGCTTTCCTTGTGAAACACCCTCGAGGAGTTTGCACATTCATTCCTATTTCAGCCGTCACTAATTACCTTAGTTGTGTGCAAAAATGTATACGCAAAGCAGTAGCACTTTTGCCTATCAATGAATGCATTTTCAGGGTCGAAGAATGATGTATTTATTTTAACACTTTTAGCAATTGCAACTTCATTCCCTTGGACTTGTGTACCAACTGCAACCTTACCTCATGAAGTCTGACATGACCACGGTGGTCCATGCCTTAGTTACCTCTAGACTGGATTACTGTAATGCTCTCTACGTGGGGTTACCCTTGAAGACGGCCCAGAAACTACAACTTGTCCAACGTTCGGCAGCCAGATTAATAACTGGGGCGACTTACAGGGAGCTCCACTGGCTGCCATTTATTTTCCGGTCCCAATTCAAGGTGCAGGTTATCACCTACAAAGCCCTAAACGGTTTGGGACCCGCCTACCTTCGTGACTGTATCTCCCTCCATGAACCATCTCGGGCCCTCCGATACTCCGGGGAGGCCCTTCTCTCGCCCCTGCCAGTCTCTCAAGCTCGCCTAGTGAGTACAAGGGAGAGAGCCTTTTCCGCTGTGGCTCCCCGACTCTGGAACTCACTGCCTGGAGAAATTAGGAAAGCCCCTTCCCTAGAAATCTTCAAAAAGAACCTTAAAACCTGGCTCTTCCGCTGCGCCTTTGATGAGTAGGTATATAATCCCACATGATTGCTCTGCCTCAAAGTTCTGTCATTGGAGTATACGCCCCCCCCCCCCATGGGAAAGCTTGCTTCCACAACTCCCGCTGGAATGAGCCCTCCTCCCTAAATTACTTGCTTCCCTCTTTTATCTGCCCGAGTTTTTAATTAGTTTTAGTCAGTTTGTCCTTTTGATTACTACATGTTGCCTGCCCATTGTTATTGTGCCTGTGTTTACTGTAATTTTCATATTGTTATGTATTCATACGTTTTATGGAACTATGATGTTATTATTGTATTGTCGAAGGCTTTCATGGCCGGAATCACTGGGTTGTTGTAGGTTTTTCCGGGCTATATGGCCATGTTCTGGAGGCAATTTTTCTCCTGACGTTTCGCCTGCATCTATGGCAAGCATCCTCAGAGGTAGTGAGGTCTGTTGGAAAGGAAAAATGCCTCTAGAACATGGCCATGGTCAGTTGAAACATTCACAACTAGCTCCAGCAGACAAGAGTCCTTTGTCCCACCCTGGTCATTCCACAGATATATAAACCCATTTTCCTACTTCCAACAGACCTCACTACCTCTGAGGATGCTTGCCATAGATGCAGGCAAAACGTCAGGAGAGAATGCCTCCAGAACATGGCCATATAGCCCGGAAAAACCTGCAACAACCCTATGATGTTATTGTTTATTGTTTGCGTTTTCAGTTTGTGTTTTGGTTTTATTTTGCTGTATTCTGTTGTTTGGGCTTGGCCCCATGTAAGCCACTCCAAGTCCCCATCGGGGAGATGGTGGTGGGGTATAAATAAAGATTATTATTATTATTACTATTATTATTATTATTATTATTATTATTATTATTATTATTGGAGCCACTTAAAATTAATACTCTTTATGGAATCTATATGCTTAATTGATTTCTAGCATGCAGCCTCTAAAGGCACCAGATCCTATCTGATCTTGGAAGCTAAGGAGGGTCAAAGGCCGAACAGGGGATAGGGTTACAGCCTGTGTTGGATGGGGTGACACTCCCCCTGAAGACGCAGGTTCGCAGCTTGGGAGTGATCCTGGACTCATCGCTGAGCCTGGAACCCCAGGTCTCAGCGGTGGCCGGGAGAGCTTTTGCACAACTAAAACTTGTGCGCCAGCTGCGCCCATTCCTTGGGAAGTCTGACTTGGCCACGGTCTGACTTGGCCACTGGTTACATCCCGTATAGACTACTGCAACGCTCTCTACGTGGGGTTGCCTTTGAAGACTGTTCGGAAGCTCCAAATGGTCCAGCGCTCGGCAGCCAGGTTGCTAACAGGAGCGGCGCTCAGGGAGCACACAACTCCTCTGTTGCGCCAGCTCCACTGGCTGCCAATCTGCTACCGAGCACAATTCAAAGTGCTGGCTTTAGCCTATAAAGCCCTAAATGGTTCTGGCCCTGCTTACCTCTCCAAATGTGTCTCTCCTTACGAACCCTCTAGGAATTTAAGATCTTCTGGGGAGGCCCTGCTCTCGGCCTTGCCATCTTCACAGGCTCGATTGGCGGGGACGAGGGATAGGGCCTTCTCAGCGGTGGCCCCTCGGTTGTGGAATGCCCTCCCCAGGGACATTAGATCAGCCCCCACCCACTTAACATTTCGCTAAAAAGTTAAAACCTGGCTATAGGAGCAGGCCTTCCCAAACGCAGTGTAGCTTTGAAACTCTGATCTCGGAACGGTTGGACAACCCGACTGGACAATGACTGGTAATAAAATGCGGAGGACTTATGGTTTTTATTGTGTTACTGATGTTAATTGTAATGAATTTTTAATGCTTAAATCATTTTTGTACTGTTGTGGGCATCAAATTGTGCCGTTTTGTAAACCGCCGTGAGTTGCCCTCGGGCTGAGAATGGCAGTATAGAAGCATAGTAAATAAATAATAAAATAAATCAGCACTGATTAGTACTTGAATGGGAGACCAGTAATGGCACTGTAGCTAATATTTTCAGAGGAAGGAACTGGCAAAACCACCTCTTGAGTACTTGTTTCCTGAGAAAACCGACAAGCGACTTGAATGTTGTGTAGATAGAAATGGGACAGCATTCCTAAACATGCAAAAAATACTGTTTGATTAACATGTGGTATATTGATAGATTATGTGAATGTGATAACCTTGTGATGGTTATTGCATCAGCCAGTGTCCCTTACTGATGTCCTGTCAGCAGAGTCTGAAACCTAAGAGGCTGGTAAACAAGAAAGGAGCTAGGAAATTAAGGTGGGTGAAAGAATCCATCTTTCTCTCTCCTGTGTGACTCAAGTAATAGGTCATGGAAAGTACTCTCTTTCCAGTCCCTCTCCCTTGACCTTTTGATGGAAAGTACTTCTTGTACCTGCAGACTCTGCGCTTAACCACAACCTTTGAGCTTAACCACAACACAACTACTTTCTGTGTAGGCTTGAACTTTGTATGACCTCTACATGTCACATCTTGTTTCTTAAAAACATTTTCTTCCCTGTTGCTCCTTTTCTACAGAGAAAGGGTATGTTTCTCTTTTGCTGTTTTGTGTGAGTATCCGCCTGTGCTTTATGTGACTATCTGATGATGCTGATTGTTTGCAAGAACAAGGAAAATGGATCTCCAAATCCTGTTTGTATATTTTGTATATATTGTAAAGTTGAAGATATTTTGGATGAAACCTGGATCTCTGAGTTTGCTCTACAGTGTGTAGATAAGGTCAGATGCTGGCAGTTGGACTCTGCTGATAGACAGGCTGAAGCATGTTTTTGTTGTGAAAGTGAAAGGCTCTTTGAGTGAAATTCCCAAATGCTAAGCAAGGGGCTTTGAATGAAATTAACAGCAAAAGAGAAATATACCCTTTCTCTGTAGAAAAGGAGCAACAGGGAAGAAAATGTTTTTAAGAAACAAGATGCGACATGTAGAGGTCATACAAAGTTCAAGCCTACACAGGAAGTAGTTGTGTTGTGGTTAAGTTCAAAGGTTGTGGTTAAGCGCAAAATCTGCAGGTTCAAGAAGGTACTTTCCATCAAAAGGTCAAGGGGGAGGGGCTGGAAAGAGAGTACTTTCCATGACCTATTACTTGAGTATGAAAGTCACCTGAAAAAGAGGAGGGGCGCGGCAGTCACTTGAAGGGGAGCATCTGCGTATGCTGCCAGGCTGTCCATCTTCTTCATGAAGAAACTAAAATAAACTTTGTTTTTTTAATCTTTTTTGGGACTTTCTCCTTCCTTACGGGTTCCCGTGATGTGGACCTAAGAAGACCTAATTTCAGGGTCTCTAACAAAAGGACTCTGCTGTATTTTTGCTTGCTTTTGGGACACTTGCTACCCACCTTGCAGCAGTTCAGGGAAGTTGTGCTTTGGAAACTATAAATCACTTCACGATCCCGCAGCATTGGAGGCACATGTGGTATCTACTATGTAACATGGACCTCAGTCCCATATTTTGTTCTCTACAGGAGGGATCTAAAAGTTGTGTATCCAGAACTGGGAGATGTTGGCTGTATGTATATTCCCGAGTGTAACCAGTACCGTAAGCGGATCAGCAAGGAATGGAGCAGCCCCGTTGTCCTCTTCCAAGAAGCAGATGCGGTAAGAGCTGCCTTTATGGTTGCGACACTCAGGCAGAGAAAGACACACCACTCGAAATGCTCAATGTGACACTTGACATAACTGGAAAGTGGAAATTGACAGGAAATGCTCTACATTTTATAACCCGTGACTCTCCAGGTGTTTGGGCCTGCAAATATCTACCAATAAATAAACACGAATGGGGAATTAATGGGATATAGGGAATAAAAAGAAGGACTCTAATAGTCTGGAAAGGAAATAAGGAAGCAGTAGGAGTCTTTGTGAACAAAAATAAGCATTTTTAGTTTTTTTTTCACCTAATGCAATGCAAGGCGACTACAAAAGACTTTACTTACTTATTTAGATGATCTCTTGTTGTCTGAGGCTGATGGTTCTCCAAGTATAGTATCTTGGCGGTGGGTCCGTAGGAGGTTGCGGAGACCTATTCTTGATCTGCATGTTCTTCTGCAGTGAGGACATTGGTTTCTAGGGGACAGGCCATCCCGGTCAGGGTTGGCTTGACATGCCTTCCTCTTGGCACGTTTCTCCCTTTTGCCCTCGATACGTGCCTCTTCGAATTCTGCAGCACTGCTGGTCACAGCTGACCTCCAGTTAGAGCGCTCAAGAGCCAGAGCTTCCCAGTTCTCGTTGTCTATGCCACAGTTTTTAAGGTTGGCCTAAGTCTGTCTTTAAATCTCTTTTCCTGTCCACCAACATTATGTTTTCCATTCATGGGTTTGGAGTAGAGCAACTGCTTTGAGAGACGGTGGTTGGGCATATGGACAAGGTGGAGTTGATGGTGGAGGACCATTGCTTCAATGCTGGTGGTCTTTGCTTCTTCTTCCAGCACACTGATATTTGTCCGCTTGACTTCCCAAGAGATTTGCAGGATTTTTCGGAGGCAACGCTGATGGAATCTTCTAGGGGTTGAGTGTGACATCTGTAGACAGTCCAGGTTTCACACGAATATAATAGGATTGGGAAGACAATATAACATAACAAATAAAGTGTTATAAGACAATAGCTTTATAAACAAGCACCTTGGTCTCCCTGCGGATGTCCTGGTCCTTAAACACTCTCTGCTTCATTTGAAAAAAGTGCTGCACTCTCAGAGATTCAGTGTCAATGTTGACTTTTGTGACTTTTTGTGTTTGGTTTATGTATGTCCTTTTTCGTTACAGTGACATATGTTTTTTTTTTTGCTTAAACTCAATACAATTTTTTAAAAAGTAAAGCCCTGCCCTATGTTGATATTTCCCAAACTTTGGTCTTCCAGAAGCTTTGAACATCGGTTCCCAGACATTCTGATCAGTGGCCAAGGCAGCTGAGACTTCTGGGAGACAAATACATCTGGAGGGCTAGAGTTTGGGGAATCTCTGCTCTAGGTTAGAAGTATCACCATCTATGTAAATAAAAATGTCATGTTCGTTTGTGGGATTAACATAACTCAAAAAACACTGGACGAATTGACACCAAATTTGGACAGAAGACACCTCTCAGGCCAAGGAGTGACCATCACTCATGAAAATACTGGAAAACACAGCAGAAGGGACTTAAAAAGCCAAAAAAACCCACCAAAAATTACATTGCAACGCATGCACAAAACCACATATGTACACAAATATATACACACATATACACATATATACACACACAAAACACATATATCCAGACTAGGCCACAGCAACGCGTTGCAGGGGACGGCTAGTCTATATAAATAAAAATGTAATGTTTGTTTGTGGGATTAACAGAACTCAAAAACCACTGGACAAATTGACACGAAATTTTAACACAATACACCTAACAACCCAATGTATGTCCTTCACTCAAAAAAATTGATTGTGTCATTTGGGAGTTGGAGTTGCTGGGATTTATAGTTCATCCACAATCAGAAAAACTTTGACCTCCACTGATGATGAAATTGAACCAAACTTGGCACACAGAACTCCCTTGACCAACAGGAAATACTGGAAGAGTTTGGTGGGCAGTGTCCATTGGTTTTGGAGTTGTAGTCCACCTACATCCAGAGATCACTGTGGACTCAAACAATGATGGATCTGGGGTAAACTCAGGTCTGTAATGTCCAAAATATAATGTGACAACTTCAGAAGGTTTTTTGGGAAAGTACCACTAGATGGCACCATTGCCCTTGATGTGTCTTGAGGAGAATTGGTGTCAGAGAGGAGATTTCTCCTTGCATTCCAAAAGTTAACAGCCTGGCACCTCAGAACACCTGGAACTAGGTATATACATTCATAAGTCAGATTTAATTTCTTGTTGTAAAATAATGTAAATGTAATAACAACAACAATAATAATAGAGGAAAATGATAAATGTAATAAAAATAAAATAGAATAAAATGATAAATGCAATAATAATAATAATAATAATAATAATAATAATAGATGAATATAATAAATGTAATAACAACAATAATATAATAAATGTAATAATAACAATAATAAATAGAGTACTATAATAAATGTAATAATAGAGGGAATATAATAAATGTAATAATAAAATAGAGTAAAATAATACATGCAATAAAATAATAATAGAGTAAAATAATGTAAATGTAGCAGTAATAATAATAATAATAAGGAGTAAAATATTAAATGTAATAAAAATAATAATAGAGTAAAATAGTGGAAATGTAATAATAACAGTAAAATAATAATTGTAATAATAATAAGGCAAACTAATACATGTAATAATAATGAATACAGTAAACTAATAAATGTAATAATAATAAAAAGAGTAAAATAATGTAAATGTAATAATAACAATTATAGAGCAAAATAATAAATGTAGTAATAATAGAGTAAAATAATGAATGCAATAACAACAACAACAACAACAACAACAATAGAGTAAAATAATGTAAATATAGCATTAGATGGTAAAATAATAAATAACCTTGACTCAAGTATAAGCTGAGGAGGGCTTATTTAGTTTTAAAAAAGGGCTGAAAAACTCGTCTTATACTTGAGTATATAAGGTATATGGCAGCGTAGATTGATATAAAGGTGAAGGTGTTCTCCTGACATTAAGTCTAGTCATCTCTATTTCTAAGCCGAAGAGCCGGCGTTGTCCATAGACACCGCCAGAGTCATATGGCTGGCATGACTGCATGTAGACTCATATAATCCAATTCAAAGTAGATAATGTGGATTATCTGCTTTGATAATCTGGATTATATGGTAGTGTAGAAGGGACCTTTGAGTCGCTAATAAATAAATTAATAAAGAAATATAATAAAGAAATAAAATATAATTAATAAATATAATAAATAAAGATTATTATTATTATTGTGAATGTATATTTTTTCTCAAACACTTACCTGGAGATTTCCAGCTTTTTGTTTATCGGCAACGTTCAGCCGGCCAGCAGAGAGCAGTGCGGACGGCGTGCCTGTGAATCGGTCGATCTGAAGGCTGGATCCGGCTTACTTCCGAGACTTCTCCCAAATAACTTGGTCAATTTCCAAATTTGTCTCTTTTGAGCAGGGATGAACAGCACACAATGTGCTAAGTGTTGCAACATGTGATAGTATAATCTTTTTTTAACACAACGGGCAAAGGCAGTTGTGCACAGAGCACAGAAGCAGAACGCTGTCGCGGAGATCCTGATCCCTGTGTTTTGTTCTGTTTTTAAACATATTTCTGTTTATGTGTCATTGAACTTTGGAATGCCTTGAGATACTTCCGAAGTTGAGGGACTCGTTCCTCACAAACGACTGCCTGCAGGTGAGATGATGGCGGGATCTGACCCTAGTGCCATTAGGATTCTCCCCAGAGTTTGCACGCTTGCTGAGTTCGCAATATAGACTTAACTTACTATGTGTGTGTAGGAAACAATGTCTGCTATTAGGCTGGATGGCCATCTGTCAGGGGTGATTTGAATGCAATATTCCTGCTTCTTGGCAGAATGGGGTTGGACTGGATGATGGCCCAGGAGGTCTCTCCCAACTCTTCTAGGATTCTATGATTCTAGGATTCTAGGATTCTATTTGAAACGTAGCAAAACCTGCCCAGTACTGAGGATGACGTTTGATTTAAATAGAAAGCCATTCCGATCATTTGAAAGGGTTTGTTCTTAATGCGTGAGAGAGATTGACAAGCTGGGATGTGTCCAGAGGAGGGCGACTCAAAGGATCAAGGGAGAACAATCCCTATGAGGAGCGGCTTAAGGAGCTGGGCATGTTTAGCCTGAAGAAGAGAAGGCTGAGAGGAGACATGAAGAGGGCTAGGGATCAAGATGTTAGGGGAATATGTCATAGGGAGGAGGAGGGAGCAAGCTTCCTCTCTGCTTCCCTGGAGACTAGGACGCAAAACAATGGCT